TTATTTTTATCCGGGAAGCGACAGGTTGAATAGTTGGGGGTTGGGGTTGGGAGCTCCCCCTGGCCCCTTGAATGGCCTCGACGCGACCGTCATTGCTGACCTTGCCAATCTTGACCTCGGGTTATTTCGGTTTGCACGTAGAAGCCCAGGCGTTATATAGACTTTGGTTATATGGAGGCAAAAGTCGAAAAGGAAACACGCACAGTGAGGTTTGAGGGGTATTGTAAAGTAGGTAAATACATATAATTTACCTATGCATTTAAATTAATTTTTTTTACTAGATACTAACCTGAGAAATAATCGTTACCTATTCAATCTATTTTTCTAGAAAAAAATTGAATTTCTCTCCCTAGGTGAATAATGAAAATAAGGGAAAAAACCTCAATGTTGAAAATGACGTCATGACGCAAGGATATTGTCATGACGTACCAGGTTTCTATTGGTTTAATTTCAATTTCAACCGGTCAATTAAAAAAAAAACAGGTTCTTGTATATACATACCATTGAACTAAACAAACTCTGGGATCCTATTTTCAAATATTTTCGCATACGAAATTTGATACGATTTCGAATGCTCCCCATTAAATTTACATTGTTGTCAGTCAAATTTCGTGTACGAAATTTACTCGAATGGTTTCGAAAATCGCACCCCTGCTGGAACGGGCGCACTGCTTTATGCTAGGGTGCCAAATTTTGATGTATGCAACCCAGCAATACGAAGGGATTTTTGTCTCGCTCGCACGCATTGCGATTAATGTAAAAGAAAGAAGAGCGAGAAAGTCATTATACAGGAGGGTGTCCCAGATAAAAGTAACTACATGGGTAATTCAGAAACGGTAAAAAAATACAATTTTGGTTAAATGGGAAAAAAGTGGCTCTATTCCGAGCCCAATCAGATGCTGTATCGAAATTGAAAATATCTACATTTACAAAGCTATGATAACAAACACAATTACGGTATTTGTTTCACAACTAACTAAGTGGAAAACTGTTCTTTTCAATTAATCTACATTTTCGGTCATCCCAAGATAGGCCTGTTATACATAGTTAAAAATCCCTTTTTATAATAAGTTCGATATTTTGAAAACCCCAGTAGATATTTCCAATTTCGATGCAGAATCTAATTGGGCTTGGAATAGCGCAACTTTTTTCCCATTTAACCAAAATTGTATCTCTTACCGTTTCCGAAATCCCCATGTAGTTACTTTTATGTGGGACGTATACCTTGCGCATTATAAACCTCGGCGCTAAAATGACCAAATTCTCTACCTAGGTATATAATATACTATCATTAAATTGTCTTTCAAATGCCTTTTCTGAACCGTAGTAGAAAGTTTAGGAAAATTAAACTACTTTGAAAATAATAAATAATGATAGATAGAGGAAAACTGAAATGATTTTTTTAAAAATGAGATGATGTTTACCTTTTATTATAGGTACTCACTTAGGGCTTAGTTCAAGTAATACAAAGCGTGGTAGTAGTGTTAATTTTGCCATGATTGTTGTGTTATTCTTTCAAATCAAATTTACTCATGTTTAGGACAGTAGTCTCACTTATCTACGTACTGATTTGGGTTTTTAAGAATCTGGTTGCGCCTCTAATATTCATGCGCCCTCCTTAGTCAATACTAGAAGTTCGCATGTCATTGATCCACCAATTTCCACGTCGTCACTTACTAAAAAAATCTATCCACTGCAAGTAAAAAAATGTTCAATCACACAATATAAGGAAATGAAGATGAAGGAGTGTGAATTTTCGAAAAGCAAGATAAGGAATATTACTTCTGACAAAGAGGCTTCTTTGTAGGAATAGGTACTTTTCATCTCATCTGCCTAATAGTTTTATAATTACTTTTTTAAAACATTCATGTTGAGCAGTCTTGGAAGTTCCTCCTTATGCTTTGTTTATACAGGGTGTATATTTTAGATGATATGTACCACTATTGCTATCTTCAAGTTCGGTTAAATTTAAAAAAAGTTGCCTTTTTTGATGCCCATTCAAGACTCGTTTACATTGTTGCCAAATTCCTTTTAGTTTATGAAATACAGGGTGATTTCTAAGAAACGCCCAAAAATGTTTCATCAATTATTTCGAAAACTATTGATTTTCGAGACACAATTTAAATTTGAAAGTTTTATAATTTTTTTCACTCTACATCATGGCATCTTCAAATTTTTGATCCGACGTTTTGTCATTAAGCTATCATCATCAACTTCATTTTTTTAAATACAGATCTGGATTTTTTTATGTCAGTTTTAGAGGGGGAATGAAGACGATTTGTAAAAATGACATAAAAAAACCCAGGTCCGCATTTAAAAAAATGAAGTTGATGATGGTAGCTCGATCACAAAACGTCGGATTTGAAATTTGGAGATGTCATGTTATAGAGCGAAAAAAATTGTGAAATTTTCGGATTTAAATTGTGTCTCGTCTCGAATATCAATAGTTTTCGAAATAATTGATGAAATAATTTTAGGCGCTTTTTATAAATCACCCTGTATTTCGTAAACTAAAAGGAATTTGGCAACACTGAAAATAAGTCTTGAATGGGCATCAAAAAAGGCAACTTTTTTCTAATTTAACCGACCTTGTAGTTCTTACCGTTTCGGATATAGAAATAGTGGTATCACTTAAAATATACACCCTGTATATATATTTTTTTACCTCACTTTTCTGCTTTTAACCTGACTTTTTTGCTCTCGAACTTTTCCCTTAACATTTTCATCCAAATTGTCATTGTTTTGTTTAATTTCTATTTTATTTTATTTGTTTGTAATTTTAATGAAACCATGTCATGCATGTTTTGATTTGATTTAAGCCGAGGGGTAGACCGCAGGTCAGTTTTTGTACACCAAATTGCAGTTTTAGGGGAAATCATGGATGATTTCCCATGGTTTCCCCTGATTTCCTCTGATTTCTGCTGATTACCCGTAAGATTGCCCAAGAGTTCCCCGGATTTCCTCTGATTACCCGTAAGATTGCCCAAGATTTCCTCTGATTTCTATAGAATTCCCCTAATGATTACCCTTTGGCCACTTTAATTTCTGTTTAAAAATATTATGCAGAAACAAAAACTGATTTTTTGGGGAAATGAAAGTAAACTAAAAAAAGAACACGAAACGTTAACATTTATTATCGAGTAATATAAATTCTGTTCTTAAACGCAAACATCACAAACAAAATTTGTAGGTGAGTCAGCATCCGTGCACTGACTATTTGCCCACTTCCCGCAATGAGTACATCGGTACCAAGTTTCTGATTGCCCAACGTCTTGACATATGATGCACACTTCACTGCTTTCATCATTGAAGTTAATGTCTCGGTTAATATCCAGATTATCACCATCAATGTCGTCCATGCTGTCATCATCACAAAGTTGACCAGAATTATTATTACTCGAATCGCTTGATGACGGTGTGTCAGTTTAGGGTTTCAATTAAATTCTCGAAATCCTTTGTGTCGGCAATGTTACGCTTTTTAAATATTGCTTGGGTTTTGGTTCGGGTTTGGGATATTTGACCCGAGATTTAAACTTCTTGGCCTTGGCACATTTGCTGTTCAGTTGGGTCTTGCGTTTATTACTGTTACTCGGTTTGTTATAAACCTTAGAAGGCCGCTTTGTCGGTCTGATAATTGAAGATGGAGTTGTCGCCTTTGTGTTACTGATAAATCTTCTCAACCGGTCAGTGATAATTCTGCCAACCTTTTCGTCAACGTCAAGCATCCAATACAGTGAAGATTTTTTAATAACATACCTACTGTCTATCGTTTAAAGTAACCGGTGAAAATGAACTATCTTACGATAAAAAATCTTTCTGCTGTTTTACGTATCCTCGGAAAAATCTTTTAATTCAAGTTGTTCTCCAAAGGACCCGGAATTTAAAATATTGCCTATATCTGCTCGTATTTCCTCAATGGCTGCATTTTTTTTTCCATATTCCATCCGTAATTCATTTACGACTCTTTCCGTCGAGGTTTCAGTATTCTCTAGCATTCCATCGTCTAGTTCTTTTATCTATTATATTGTTATTGTCTTCATTTTCTGAGTCATTTTCATGGGGAAGAAATATAGAGGAAAATGTGATAGATGTTCCTCTATATTTCTTAAAGGAATTGACAAGATGTTGACAGCATTTTCAATAACTGAAATCCCCAATTCCTTCATATCAATATAATTGCGCCAGGTATAGCTTCAGTAATAATTTTTGTGAAATCATCATCAGAGATAATATGTCCAAAACCATCTTTCACAACCTGAGAATTTGTCCGCTTTTTTTCTCTTGGAAACACAAACTCATGATTAAGATCTGTCATTATAATGTGTACAGTTTGAATTCGGTCAATTCGATGTAGAATGTCTTTAATAGAAAAATTGACTACTGTAGAGTATGTCGAAGACATGGAACTGACCTCGTAACCCTAAACAACTTTTCACAAGCTTGGCTACTGAAGAGCCATGGTGTAAATGATTCTGGAGTTATATTCTTGCTGTTGAGAAATTTAATTATTTTAATTAGGGAGTGGCCGTTAAGCTCAATAGACAGATAACAATTCTCAGCACCTATAATTTTATTTTGATAATGGACATAACAAAACGTAGGTAACATAATCTCAATTTCTAAATATTTTTGAAAATTGCGCATGCGTTAGATTTAGAGATTGACTGATTGCCTTAAGATTTCCTATGATTTCCTTAAGATTTCCCCTGATTTCCTTGAGATTTCCCTTGATTTCCTTAAGATTTCCCCTGATTTTCACTGATTGCATTTGATTTCCTCTGATTTCCTCTTGATTTCCTGTTGATTTCCCCTGATTTCCCCTAATTTGTACACCAGATTTCCCTTGCGGTTAACCACTCGATTTAAGCACTTATGCGTCTGTGACTGAATTTTCAACTTTTTGACTACTTTTAAATTTTTTTTCATGTACTTAGTCTTTTCGGATGTTTAAGTTTACTGAGGTTTGGTTTTTATTTTAAATTTTATGTTGACATGGTTGTCTAGCCTAGTTTTTAGTATTTTTATATGAATATAACTGTTTTTCGGCAATAAAGCATATTTTGATTTGATTTCTATGCATATAAATTAATTGTTTTGTTTTTTTTTTTTGTTATATTAGGTATTATAATTATATTTTGGGGTGAAATTTTAATTTTGTTTCAACATATATTTTAACATATCACCTGCTTATGTTTGGAAACTTGCAATTTGTAGTACCTACCTACTTTGCTCTATTTTCAGTTCAACGTTCAACGACTATTCCTGTTGTTCTGAGCTTTATAGGGAGTTGGGACATTTGTGCATTGTTGAAAAATCTAATTATTTTAATTAGGGAGTTAAGCTCAATAGACAGATAACAATTCTCAGCACCTATAATTTTATTTTGATAATGGACATAACAAAACGTAGGTACGACATACGTCGACGCACGGGTGTGAACGATGTGATCCAGTGCATGGCAGAAGCAAAGTGGAGACACAGTTTGTGGAGATGGACAGGCTACGTGGCGAGGCAAACGAACAACAGATGGGCAAAAAGAGTCATGCAGTGGAAACCAAGAACACAAAAACGCGGTAAAGGGAGACCCCAAAAGAGGTGGATGGATGACATTTACCGGAGGGCAGAGAGAGGATGGCAACACATTGCACAAGTGAACGCGACTGCGCTGCTTATGATGATGATGATGATGATATATGAAGCACAAAATCTGGCTTATAGTTACTTAGTTGGAATGGCTATGTATTTATCACCTCTAATTTCACACAATAACGTTATACATTTATGATTAGTTAGTATTTGAGTATAAATATAAGTATTTTATTCATAAATAGGCTTCGTCTTGTCTCGTGGCAAAGTTCCTCGTCCATAAATGGCCTTAAATTCCTCATCAGTCAAATCTGAAAACTTGTTCAACCCCATTTTGAAAGAGCTTTCGCCTTTTTCGTACATTTCGTTATGCTCCCTGATTTTGTGGAGATTATCTTTAAAAATTTGGTAGCGGTGGGATTCCTCATTGTTGGTTTTATATATTTTGCGATTTGCATCCTAAAAAGCAAATGAATTTTTTTTTCTTCGAATTAGAAGGACGGGGACTGAACCCTTGAAGGAAAACAAATCTTACTTTAAATTTTTTCCATTCCTCTTCGTCACTCAAAATTGCACTGGCCAGTAAACATCCACAAAGCAAATAAAATATGATTTTCATCATTTTTTGGAATATCTCGATATGTTTTTTTGCACAATCAATAAAGTACTGAATCAGGTAATATTATTTGAGCAAATTATCTGGCATTATATATACTTAACTTACATATTTATTTTAGATGTCTAATCTTTAAGTAGACTGAATCATATTTTTCGTTCAAACTTATCGCCTTTCAAGCTATAAACAAAATTTGTTCCTAATCAAAGTTAACGCAAGATTGCATCAATATTTGCAGTGGGACATGCAACTTTTTAGAGTTCTGTAACTACATAAAAAGTTATTTAACTCAACACACCTCGTGTGTTTCACGAACATCGAAACAGAGGCGTTTTAGGGTATTTCAGAAGCACCCAAAAAAAGAAACTTGACGTGTCCGAGAGCAAAAGTGTTAATTTGAGAATAACAGGGCCAGAAGATTGTTTCTTATTCAGCCCATGCGGCAACTTTGACATTGAATATCGTGAGAACTAATCATTCGATTTTAAAAATCACTTGTGACGAGAATCCAAATACCTTTGAAATAAGGGACCACTCAACCCATCTTCCCTGAGGGTGAAAGTCACCCCACACAGGTGGTGCTCCTCAACGAAATACCGATGTGGTAAAAAAAAATCCCCCTTGAATACAAAAATGACGTGTCCGAATGTTTTTGTTATCAAGTCGACCTTAAAATACCCTAAAACGCCTCTGTTTCGATGTTCGTGAAACACCCTGTATAAAATTAACATGACTAGAGGGACTATTTAGAGAAACTTTTTCATATCTATATTCGATTTTTTTTTTTCATTTTTAGAATTATCCCTCGTGGTCAATAGGATCGCAATAGTAGGAGTGTTTGCTATTTTCATCTGCTTTCTCCAGCAATTTCAAGTTTGCAAGGTATTTTGGGCGGACTATTCCTAATATTATGCACAATGCATTGTAGACAAATTCTCTTTCATACTTTATCCTACTAACTTCACTCTCTTTTCTTTATTGTTTATTTATCGTTTTATTACATTATAGATTATTTAAAACTTGCGTTGAATAATGCCTACCCGACAGGGCCGTATCTAGGGGGGGGTTTGGGGGTTCAAACCAGGGCCGTAGCTAGAGTCAAATTTAAGATAGGGCATGACAAATTCGACATAGGGCATACTCTACTTGACCCCCCCCCCCCACCCCCCTAAATGTTGTATAGGTAAACAAAATTTTTCAATAAATCAAGGTTTAGGTTGTATGGTAATTGGTAAGTTGATGACGCATCAAGGTATGTATAATGTATGGTAAAGTATGGTAATGGGTAACTTGATGACGCATCAGATTTGGGATACCTTATAGAGATTTGCATTATGTTGAGGCACCCCAGATGACGTCATAAAGTTACTAGGCATCCTATTTCTCTCGCCTTTATCAAACAACTTTGCAATAAATAACATCTCTGGCAAGTGAACAAAATGGCGCGGATTTTCGCGCCGGCCGCCTGGGCCATTCGCACTCTTTCAAAACAAAAAAAAAACTTCCTCTGTGCAAACGTCAACCATTGTTCATTAGATTTAGGCATTTTCGGAAACATTCATCCTCACTTACTCGATTTCAGGCCTATCTACTTCAGACATCATCTACTCCTAAATTTTCTAAAGAAACCTTAATGTAGGTATGTTGATTTTTAAAGGTAGGGTATTACCATTTAAAAGATAGGGCATTGTCCCCCAATGCCCCCCCTGGCTACGGCCCTGGTTCAACCCCCCCCCCCCCCGAAAAATAATAAAATTCAAAAAATCTAACTTAAAAACAAACAACACTTATTAAATACTTATTTAGTTTTTTTTATTTTTAATACTAGTGTAACAATATTTTTTTGCCACTTTGTCTAACCCCCCCCAAAATATTGGTCTAGATACGGCCTTGCTACCCGACATCCTGCTACGGAATGCTCAGAGGTAAGGAAGGTAAGTTACCTTGACCGTTACCAGCTTGGAAAAAAGTAAAAGTAAAAAGTAGGTATGCGAGAATATTTGGAAAAAAATCGCTAGGAAAATATACAGCAAATAGTATTCCCTGACCTTGCTTTTTTATTGTTATTGCGTTAATTATACATATATCTGCATGTCAAATGCTACGGCGTTTACAACTGCTTATGTAACGCGTAGTTATAATATGCTAACTCTAACTGCCAACAACATATAGGTACCATCAAGATTGCCTAAAGAAAAAATCAGTTTTGTAACTGCATCGTATACCTCGATATATCTACTGATAATTAAAATTGGAATACTTTATGGCTGGAATCTAAGTACATTTTTTAGCCTTTTCTATGTCTTCCGTTACCTAGTTCCGTTACTCATACTTAAATAACAGCAAAAAATTCTAGTTCAGAGGTTGATATAAATTATCAGTTTACACTGAAGCATCCCATTGAAGTTTCATGTATTGTATTTAGTAATTTATATGTATGTTTCACAATAAAATACAAAATTCGTACATAAATGGAGCTGCGCTAGAAATGTAAAATAATATCCAACTTTTGAAACAGCTAAGTGGGTAGCAGTTTTGTTACTGCTCAGGCACACATCGCCAATGATTGATGACTTTTGAAATGGTAGTGTAATTCCATATCGCTTGTCTATATGTGTAGAAGAGAACAAGCTTCATAGTAGCAACCAAATTTATCTCCACTCTAGCTCAAACATAGATACTCCTACAGATAAATACCTGACACCGTGGCGAAAGACAAGAAGCGATGTGGAAGCGGATTTGATGTCAGTTAGTACCAGTTTATGTGTTTTCGAGTATTCAAACAAATTTACGAAAAAAAAACGAACAATTTTCTGCCTTTTTTATTTTTTAGGTGTTCCATCCCCCAAGCTTCGACAACGGTAGCAGATTTGGTACCGAAACGTCAGCAAAAAATCCAGAACTCATACCACCGAGCCTAATCAAGTATTATTTTATTAAAATAAAATAAAGCTCGATTCGAGTATTTTACTTTATAAAAATAACCTGATAGGCAAAGTTGCTCTAATCAGAGAGCTTGTAGTAATTCGTATCAAGATCAAGAAACTTCTGGTAATAATTTCAATTGAGGTGTAAGTCCCAAAAAATGCAAGGTAATATTAGTACCAGTTTGATGTTCAAGTGTTCAAGCAACAAGCAACCGCACCATCTTTCCATCCTACCGATATGGGTAGTGCTAGTACCCATGACTTTAGTCTAAATTCCATCCATTTATAGTGGAAACCACGAAGTCGAACATATATATATACCACATACTTTAATTCACTGTGGCGACTTTTCGACATGGCCTTATTAAATCAATCCATTATGGGATCAAACTTTCTCGAAAAATGCATACAAAAGTGGAATATCATCCAAATTCAAAATTTAACTTCCTTTGTCCACTACAAGATCATCACCACGCTCTCTGGTCGTTGCCATATGTTGCACATGCAACAATACATTGCATAAATGTCAAGCTGGTTATTTCATGCCCAAGGAATATTCTGTACAAGGAATATTCTGTACAATAAAAAAAAAACATGTTACACAGGATCTGTATTTTCTGGAAGTTTTTTGACCTCATTCCTCACCTGTACTTTTTCCAGTCGAAAAAAAAACACCAAACCACATTCAGTCTCACTTTTTATTAGATATGTTTTAAACATATACAAAATAGGTACTTTTACAAAATTTAACAATAATACAAATTATATTAAACATTCTCTACTTTTTATTTGTTATTTAAAGTATTTAAAAAAATACGTACATACATATTTTTCAACATATTGCCATATGCCAAAACGATCAACGAAGAAGAATCTAAATTTTAATCCCCCAAGTCTCATACTTGAGTTTACTCAAAAATGATTTAATTTTACTTTTGAGTGAAGGACGCACAAGTCATGTGACCGTAAATGTATATAGTTCATCAAATTTGGCTCCTTTTCTAACTCATACACTTGAGCTTTGGATTGCAAAAAATCTGGAATTAAATTAGTCTCTTAATAATTTTTGAAGAAACTAAAATTCAATTGCCAGATTATAAATTAAAATATAGAACGTAAAATAGGCGTTAATTACAAGCGCACTGAATAATGCGATATCAAGTCAATTAATTGACAGGAAAAATCTGTATCTGTTGGAGTAGTATTCAGTCCATTAAAAATTCAAACAAGCTTCGGTTAAAAAAATAAATCACAGCTTCTTTACATCAAACCATACCAAAAATCTACAATAATAAAAAATCTACTTAAATCACTGAAAACTATTTCTTTTAATTTTTTTTGATGTTGCTATTCATGTTTTTTTATTTTTTTAGTTTTCTTTGTCACAGATGAAGAATTGGCTGGAAGTAGTAGGAAAGCTGATTTTAACTCAAAATTGAATTACGTTTCTGAATTATTTGGGTAACTTTCAGGTAATTCAACTATTTACATTAATTTGAAATCACCATTAAATCAAATGGCTATTAATACTAATAGTTTACTTGCTTGAAATATGTTACTATGAACTGTTAGTGAAAATAACTAAATTTCAAAAGTATAGCCTCAAATTCACGAACCACAAAACTATATATTGTGCAGAACATGTGGAAAAAACTAAGAAATAAGATTGAAACAAGGAAGTAAAGAAGCATCGTTGTGTTTGGCAACAAAGAAGGAAGAAAAGGGAGAGGATCAAGCCTAGAAGCAAATACCTAAACTCCTGCATTGTAGTGGTATGATTTTTGAGCTTGGATTTTCAATAATTACGACGTAACGTCCAGTAAAGCAGTTTTAGCTTGGTAAAGACTGGAGATTCACTAGTCGAAACGTCACAATTATTGAAATGTCTTTAAATAATTCCATGTTATCCACTATAATCGCTATTCTATAGCTAAGCATTTTATGAAAGTTTGGAGAGAGCTATTTTAGAAATCTCAAATACAAACTTTTGTACAGGAAAGAAATACTGGAAAAGAATTTCAACTTACAAAGGACTTTTTTCACCATCTGATAAACTATCAGGAATGCAATCTGACTGATAAAAATTCAATCCCATTGGTTGACCAGTTATTTACCAATACCGATCAATAGAATTATAGAACGGTAAATTTATCTTGCAGATGCTTACCAACAAGTTTGTCTGAAGATGAATAAACCGGGCCTAATTTGAGTAAATGAAAGGAAATTAACTGGCACCTAAGCCGCTATACCAGTATACAGTGTACTTTTTAAAATGTCGGAAATCAGGAGAGAAAACCAACCTCAAAGTTCTTATCAAAATTAATATAATATTCAGTTACTGGTTACTGTAAGGTGTCGAATCTCTATGAAAAGTATTAGAATTTGCATAGCGAGTTCAAAAAAAAAAAAACATTAAAATCAGCACTTCCAATAATTCCTTCTACCAAACAATCATACCTACTTGAACAATTTTTTTTTTTCAAGAAGCCCTTAGATATCTTATTATAAAAACATTGAAAACAATTAAAGACACTAAATAAAGTTTCTTGGACATAAAATCTAGTTACTTTGCAATGAATGACAAGGAGTTTTTCCTCTTTTAAAGAACAAAAAATATTTTGTACACTAGGTTTCTTTTTGGTAATGTTTTTTTATGAACATATTCTAACTCTAATGTTTATTAAATTTCTTAGTACACCCTGTATGTCGCATTTCACAGAAAAAAAGTTTTTCCACATCAGTATAAGTTCCTCTCACATTTTTTAACACCCTGTGATACAAACATCTGATTGAAAAATTAGGAACGACGAGCGTTTTAAATGTTTTACTCAAAATAAAAATAAATCACCATTTCCGGAAGGCACATTTTTTTCTCTCAAAAAACAGTTTCAAAATCAGAAATTTCCCCTTTGTAAATATATCACCCACCCTCTTCCTGAAGGTACAATTTTTTTGTCTTAGTGTAAAATTCTCTCATACGATTCCTATTACATAATATGAGTATCTAAAAAAAAATCAGTACTCACGTATCCTATCGAGATCTTTAAAATGCCTAATAGTAGGTACTTCTTACGAACTAATAAATACATTTTTAAATATTTTATTCATTGCAAAGAAACTTTCAGTTTTCTAAATGTATAGGTACTTTGAGTTATAACCAAATATGCGACTAGAAGTTTAATCAGATCTAAAATAACTTTAATTGCCAAAAAGAAATTAGTTGTTGTTTGTAAATGTGCAAAGTTGCATTGGATAACTTGGGTCCTTAGTTTATAACTCAAAGTATATATTTGATTTAGATGAAGAAAATAAACTCCAAGTGAACCTGCACAAATTGCTTGTCATAATTATTACAGTAGCCTGGACTATCAACAGGTGTGTATGACTGCAACTTTCGATAGAAGCTTTTAGGCAGTCATTGAAACATTCAGAAATAAACAATTGTCGACGTTGATGACATTAGTATCAAAATGTAAGTGCCGAAAAATTTTTACAAGCAAGATGTTAAAGGTATTAAAATTAGACAACATTGGCAACTAATAGTGGTTCATCTTTAAGTTCATTTTCTTCATATCTACATAATAATTATCAGTTTATCGCATCATAAGTTCATCAGCAAGTCTGAAAAAGCACATGTAAGTGACAGTAAGCTGACTGTTGCCGTCGAACTTATTAGCAATATAGAAAATATAATATTTTTTACTAATTTAATCGCCTTGAGGCACAAAAGGTTCCACTTGTTCCTCGCTAGGGCTAAGCGCGGGTTGTAGTATTTTAAAAGCGGAACCCAAGCTGGGCCTGAGCTTGAAGGTACTGGGTTGCGGGGCGTGTTCTAGGAGAATGTTCGTTTTATCGTCAAGCGACTTGAGCCTTACCTATCGGAGCAAAATGTTACTTATCGATAATTAAAAATAAATTGTTTCAACATTTTTTTTTTTTTTTTATTTTGGTTAATTCTAGTGTTATTTGCTCCATATTAAAATAGCTGAAGACTGTTAGCAAAACCACCCCTCTAGAAGGTGAAAATGTGTGTAGCTTGCCTAACCACCTCCATTATAGCCAAATGAGACCTGGTCGTTGTGGATCAAGGTTGCAGTTTCCAATACAAACAGAGATGTAAAGGTAAGGATTTTCACAGACGCGAACAAAAGCCTGCTCGACTGTCAAAGAGGCACTTTTCCAATGTATCGCTAGAGCTCTTCTTGTAGCAAAAATATGGAGTTAAGATGAACAGCAAGCCATAAGATGAGATTCAACAACAGCAAAGTAAACAGAAACGTTATCTGTCCAAAACTCGCTGAAGCCATTCAGCATAACATCCAGAAAAAAGTTTCCTACAAAGGCCTCCTCAAAATGCAGGTATTTCTCAACAATGTTTCAAGAATATTTAGCTTGAAGGGTTCTGAACCTGTATACCATTTCCAAGGTCCAGCTCACCCATAGCATACCTAAAACTCGTCACCTAAACCACATTAATGCAATAAATATGAAGCCACACAGTCAAAAGCCGTAAAAGATCACAGAATACCGCTTCCTTTGTATTTATGTGTTTGTAAATATTTATAGCAGGCCGAAGAAAGCATCAATCGACATACCTCCATACTGATTACAGCTTAAAATATTGTGTTAATTTAACAATGTTATCATTCTAGATTTCACTCAATTATGTTTGAAAGGGTCAATGATAAAGGGATTGGGTGAACATTTGGATTTGGGGGTAGCCACAATTACGAAAATCGTTAACTATGAGCCAGGTCTCTATTTGTTTATTTTTGGCGGTTGATATACATAGGTATAGTTAAGAGAATAACAAGATAAAGACATTTTTTTTAACTGTTATACAAGGCAAGAAAGGTAGATGAATACTAACTTTATTCATATGACACGAATCAATTGACAGCTAAATACACATTCAATTAATTTTGGGAAATTTTACCTTTTCACAGCCATCTGGTGGTTCTCTAGCTAAAAACCGGTTTATATGAGGGGACGTTCCAAGTTTGCTAGCTTCATTATCTGGACTTGATCCATGGCTTTCACCTAGACAAATTACATTGATTTATATTTTGAAAGTGTCAATGGGTAATGTCATTCTAAGTACGTTATTACACCTGTGCATAAATTGCAAAATGAAACATGAATTTATGACTTAAGAAATTAAACATCAAACATTTTTCTAATGGACCTGAATCCAGGAGCTTATTTAGAAACACTTTAATATCAAATGAAAATTTTAAACTGTTGTTAAATAACCAATTTGCTACTGGAAAAAATACTTATGGATTTTGCAACCGTTTTATTCCAAAATCGATCAAGACATGCAGGAATTCAGGGAGGTCATCTAAATAAAAGCTAAAACATATTTTTTATTGTTCAACCTTCATCACTGGATCCAGAGCTTCCAGGACGTCTCAGAAACCTGGGCGGTGAAAGCGATTCTCTTGAGGATGAACCTTTAAATATGACTTGTTTTATAGAAGTACTAACTGAATTGGAGTTACAGAATTAATGATTAAAGGTCGATTCACACATAGCAGTGACGTGACAGTGCTGTGACCGGCACGTGATTTCACCGGCTGTAAACTCAAAGTGATTTCTATTCATATAGGTCAGTGTTTCATCAGTGCCGTGTCAGTATAGTTCATAGCCAAATGGAAATATTTTCAGATGAAGAACTTTTGCAGATCGCACTGGTTTTGGACGAAAAAATGAAAGAACAAGTAGAAGAACAGGTAGAAAAACGACACTGGGTCCATCCTGCATGGAAAAAGAGAGGTACAAAAGGGGAATTTATAACATTATACAAAGAACCAGTAGACGATGCAGCAAAATTTTTTGAATATCTACTTTAGGGTGTCAGAAAATTCGTTCAACCTATTGTTGTGCAAGATAGAAATTCATTTGAAAAAGCATGACTCCAGATAGCATTCTTGAAATCAGAGTCCATGTATTTTGAGTTGCACAGGTCATACAAAACGAGATAACCACGGACCAACTCAATTTGCACGGCCGTGAAAATCCAAAAATATCGTCAGGAACTAATATAATAATCACGTTACGGTATCGGCGACAGCACTGTTTGCACTGTCACGGTCGCGTGTCGGGCAGATGGGAATAGGTACCATCAAATTCCTACGAGAATAATTTTGACTTCGCCGGTGAAATCACGCGCTGGTCACGGCACTGTCACGTCACTACTATGTGTGAATCGCCTTAAGATAGGTTATTATTTTCACCTGACGAGTGACTGAAATCTTGTGGAGTCTGAGTATTGACAGATCTGGACCTATTTGATCTCAACATTTCTGCCAGTGGTGCTCTATGACCTTCAGGAGTGGCTTGGTGACATTCATATCTGAAATAAACAATCAGTAATTTTTTATCAAAAAAGAAAAACTTTTAGAGTTTTGTAGTTTCCTTGTGGTCTATAGATATTATATCCTGACGTTTTGTTTACAACAACAGTAGGCATTATGAAAAGCGACGAGGCAAGGCAGTGAGACAAAACAGTAAATACTTCGTCTCTTGCCTCATCGCCTTTGATACCTGCAGTTGTAGTCCAAACGTCCGGATACGATAGGAAAGCCCACAAGCTTATAAAACAATAACTATAATGAATCAATTATTATTCAAATTAATCAAAATCAATACCTTTCAGTTTGATTTCCGTCAGATCCAGTTCTCAATACTATCCTCTCAATTTCTTGATTCAGACCTTCCACTGAGCTTCTAATCGAAGATTTTGGTAATGGTTTGATAGGGATACTTACTTTTGAAGTTAGGGACAACATGCAAGCTAAAATTTAAAAAAAAATACTCAGAAAACTCTTTTCCCGAAGGATTATACTGTAAGCACATTCCTTTGACATTTTCCTATTTTCTGTTTCAAAAATATTAGAAATTACATAACACTCCTCCAAATTTATAAAAGCACAGAAAAGAAGTATTACCTAAATCAGTTTTTTCAAAAGTGATCAATCTTTTTCGAAATGAACAAGTTTAATAACAAACAGTTTATTTATAGAGTATAGAGTGCAACCCAAAGGTTGGAGTCAAAAATTTTGAACAAATAAAATAGGTAAATCATTTGAACAATTGACCTTGATTTCTGAACCTAAATAGATAATTATAGATGCTTTTTTTATATCTAAAGAATAAATTGAAACATTTATTGTCACGAGAATAAATTCCAAACTGGAGCAGAATAGATTTGACTGGTCAAAGTCATGTCCTTACATGCACAAAAATTAAATTTTCGGAGGTTTTTTTAAGTTTTTAAAAATCTAATCAATGTATACAAAAATAAAGCTGAAATTAAATGATTGCCTGTACTACAGGGTTTTCTTTGAGGCGAAGATATGTATATATTACACCCAGAATCCAAGAAAACTGGTGAAAAACTGACATACACAAATCGGTAAAATGGCCAAATCTGAAGCAAAGGTGGCAACCTACGGCAAGATAACACAGGTTTTAGAAAAATTGAAGTTTTATTCAAAAATTCCTCAACTTGAATATGAATTTTTAGAAAAGAATTTAAGAAAGCGAATTAAATTTTCGACATCTAGTAACCCCAAATTAACCTGCTTTTTAAAAATTCGACTAAATTCTTCAAAATACTACTTGACGGACATGAAATAATCGCAATTGATGAAGGAATTGAGTACAAATTATTGATCAATTAAATCGATAGACATCAATCTGTCACATGCGCAATAATTTTAACTTTCCTTATGCTAACTAGATCTACATAATTGAACTATTTCCACCAGAACACAGTAATGATTTTTAATTTTATTTTATTTTATTGGTACATCTTACAAACATCAAATAATATTGATAACAACATGCAAGAGATGCCTTATATCTAATAAAATCTACTGCCTAGAGCTTACATTACTACAGCTATTACAAACAAAACAAATAAAAAAAAAATAAATTAAAAAAAAAGTATAAATGGTTAACAAACAACAATAATATATCTATATAACGCTCTGTGTAGTTAACAACATCAGTAAAGTTCGAAAAGGGATTTAAGTTTTTTAACATCCACATTGCACATGTCAATATCATGCTTATTAATTAGTATATTGCACTTATGCTGCATTGACAGACCAATCAGACATATCACAGTGAAACAGATTAGCATTACTTATTCATAAATTTATCTTAGGAACATGGAATTTTATATAATTAATGAAGGAACATGATTTATACTTAATATTATTGACTACATAATATATAAATAATACAGAATTCAGTATACGCCTTATTTCTAGTGATTGAATATTGAAGATGTTAAGCATACTTTTATAAGATACAAGATGGAGATATATATTATACTTCTTATGGTATAGATATCTGAGGAAACGCTTTTGAACCTTCTCAATTTTATCGATGTTGCATTCTGCCTCTGGTGACCAAACTACACTGGCATATTCAAGGTGGGATCTAACTAATGCGTTGTATAATCTTATGACTGTATCAACATGTTCAAAGTGTTTCGTATTTCTAATGACAAAACCTAAAGCACAGTAAGCTTTACTGATGACATAATGGTAATGATCATTAAATTTCAGGTTGCTTTGAAAATTAACCCCTAGATCCTTACATTTATCCTTTCTTTGCAGTGGTACATTATTTATTGTATATGTAGTATTTATATTATTAATTTTTCGGGTATAAGTAATGACCAGACACTTATTGATATTAAGTATCATATTGTGGTCCAGAAACCAACCAGCTGCAGAATCCAGGTCATCTTGCAACTTTATACAGTCCTCTTGACAAGTTATCGTTTGAAAAATTTTGAAATCGTCAGCAAAAATTAAGCTTTCAGAGTATTTAATACAATCAGGCAAATCATTTATAAAAATATTGAAAAGCAAGGGACCAAGGTTACTACCTTGTGGTACCCCTGATGTGACTGAAAAAAAAATAAAAAATAAAAAAAATAAAATGATATTGACTTAAATGGTTAATAGCTAATTTAAAGTCTGAAATTCGTGTATTTTTGGTTGCCTATGGTTAAAATGGATATACAAATTTATTGGGCGGTTTAATGCGGGTATAACCAAAATCAAAATTTTATATTTCCTAAAGTCCCATCGTACTTTATCGTAAAGAATCTAGGTATACTCAAAACAAAAACGATTTCGAATAACAGGAACGATGCTATGATTCAAAAGGAGACAGATAGGATCCAAAGAAAATAAGTCATATCTCTACTCAATCCGATGTACACGCAAAATTGACAAAGAGCAGATTAACATGAAAATTAGACATCAGGCAAGAAATGAAGTCGGTTTCAGAAAGGGGTTCAGTACAAGCGATCAAAACCTAAACTTGACCTAACAAAATCAAATCCTGTTATGCATGGAGTTCAAAGATTATGGAAAAGCCTTCGACAGTGTTGAACACTGGGCAGTAAAAAAGTCATTGCAAATATTAAAGAATCGGATTTATAGATCAAGACAACAACAGCTAATATACTATACTAATCAGCTGAAACTAATAAAATAAAACAGGCTAATTCAATCAAACATTTTCGATAAGTACGCAGATAATATTGCGCTACTGACAAAAAAGAAAAACCACAAAGAATTAAAGAAAACGTGGATAATGAATAATGAATCGATAAAAATATGTGATAGCAATTTTTTTTCTTCTGTTTTTCTTCTTTTACGTTCTTTGTCGCTGATACGACGACATTCATAACTCCTCCAGCTAGTAAAAATATACCTAATGCTTTGATTCGAACTAGTATGACTGAAATGGTTAGAAAAATTCTAAGTGAATGATAAACGGCCTCAACGGGGTTGTAGGAATCACTTGTTGAAGGTCATCAAAGTTTATCAAATCGCATGTGAGATTTAGATAGAAAATTAGGAAATTTTATTGTCTTAAGTGGAAGATCAACTTACAAGTTAGAGTTTGGGAGCTATTATTCAAAGTATTGTCTCCAGGTGAAATGTGCCGACTAGTAGATTCTTTGTTCCCTCTAATTTTTGGTCTCAAGCTCAATTTTTCCTCAGTTTCAGTGTAATGGCTTTTCCAATCAATATCTTCTGTCTGAAATGTTTCAGAATGCAATTAATTAAAAGCAGATAAACAAAACAAAAATGTGCATTTCTTGTGCTTCACTTACTTGTGTAGCTTTATCAAATTGCAATATGCCCATATAACCCCAGTAAAAATGGTCTTTTGGCCAATGTCCTTTTAAATAAATTGTGTCCAAGGATGCAGTTCTCCGCATTACCTCTGAAGGACCACCACTATATTTTGATTTTCCTTGAAAAAAAAATTGAAATAAAGTATATATATAATTTTTGTTTATTTGATTAAACTCAAAGAGCACTTCACTGAGACCATGAAAAATGAACAGTGTGTTATGGTTTAAAACATTATTTAAAAAGTCATGTTACAAAAGATTATGGCTCGGATCATGGGCAGACAAAAAAATAAAAAAGGTACCTAATAAACGAGCTAATAAAGGTTTTAACTTGATTACAACAAGAAAATTTCATTGCAGTTGCAATGTTTTGAAATTGAACAGGGACTAAATGTGGCCTTGCTTTTAAGATACAGATGACCAGTAGAGTTTAGTTAATTTGAAAAACTCCACTAACACAATACCAATAGTGTGAGCTTGGAACATTGGAATTTAAAAAGAAGCATATTTCCTAAAAAGAATTTGGTGAAAGGCAAGTATACTTATACTTTCTACAAATTGAAAAAAATATATTTTACAGCATGTAATTTACTTGGTAATTTATTTGTTCATTTTTAAAAACTAAAAGCATTTTTTCAAATATACCATATTATAGGAGGTAATTTTGGGACAACTAGTACGAATGCCAAATCATAAAAAAACAGCAAGAAGAAAATCAACTCATATTTTGCTAGTAAAAATTCACAATCATCTTCCTTATTCACTCTTTCGCTTGTATAGGTACAGGGTTATTGGTTATAAATGTCACCCCCCCCTCTATCTTTTTTATTTGACATTTTAGAAAAAAGTGTCCCAAATCAAAGTTTTATGGTTGAAATTGAATTTTTTAAAAAACTCACTTTCGCATATACAGGGTGTTTCAGAAAAGATGGTCGTGGTCCAAATTTCCTATTTCAAGTGGAATACCCTGTATATTATTGGATATTCGGATTCTATGTAAAATTCTGAGCAGATTTCATGTGATATACCCTATACCTTCAACTGTCTTGGAAATATTGACAGTTGAAAATTGCCTTTTTTGCAACTTTGACAGGCTGTAAATCCTAAACGGTTAATTTTAGAGCAAAACCGTTTTTACATTTTTATCTTAGATTTTTATAAACTATCAGTTGACACCAATATTTGACTTCAACTTTGAATTTAATCCATGATTGAAAATTCCAATTAAAGGATAACGCACACCTAACATGGGATTTTTGGGCTCTATGGATTTTGCCCATTTTTTGATATGTTGTAGAGGATTTAATTCTGACAACCTTTAAATGAGACGAAATCTTGTAGGTATTACAATCTTTGAGATATGAGCTTTGAAAGATGAACTTTTTTGCAACTTTTTGTGTGGAGAGTATACATGATACTGGTGCTACTGGTGTTTATCAGTCAAAATATTGACAGGTTCACATATTTTACGTCACTTTAAAATTAATGTCAACTTGGGTTAAGGCCGGGACCGCACTGGGGTCAATGTTGGCGTCAGTGCGGTCCCGGCCTTAGCTTATATTGACATTTGTGAGTGGCGTAAAATATGTCGACCTGTCAAAATTTTGACTGATAAACACCAGTTTTTCGTATACTCTCCACACAAAAAGTTGCAAAAAAGTTCATCTTTCAACGCTCATATCTCAAAGACCGTAATACCTACAAGATTTGGTCCCATTTAAAGGTTATTCAGAATTAAATACTCTAAAACATATCAAAAAATGGGCAAAATCCATAGAGCCCAAGAATTTAATCTTTGGTTAAATTGAAAGTTGGTGATAACTTGTGAAAATCATAGAAAAAAATGTGAGATCGGTTTTGTTCAAAAATTAACCGCTAGGTTTTACAGCCTGTCAAATTTACAAAAAAGTTTATTTTCAACTGTCAATTTTTCCAAAACAGTTGAACTCAGGTATAGGGTATATCACATGAAATCTGCTCAGAATTTGATGTAGTATCCAATTTAGAATAAGAAAGTTGGAGCACGACCAGCTTTTTTGAAACACCCTGTATATGCAAAAGTGAGTTTTTGAAAAAATTTAATTTCAACCATACATTTTTTATTTGGGGCACTTTTTCCTAAAATATCAAATAAAAAAGATAGAGGGGGTGACATTTATAACCAATAACCCTGTACAATGCAAACAGTTTTTGGCAACAAAATATAATGAACGATCTACTGAAAAGATAGGAGAGAGAAAGGTGACAACATACCTCTTAAACTCAAAAGAGACCTCTTGGAGGTAATAGGTCTGTTTCTGCAGAAATCACAAACCAGTCAGAGCCAATTTCATTGGTTGAAAAGAGTCAGAAACAGTCAGAAAACTAGTTTCAACCGAGGTTTCAACCAATGAAATTCACTCTGACTGGTTTGTGATTTCTAAAGAAACAGACCTAATATAGCTGTCATGAAAATTGGCTATATAAATTTGCTTTGGGTTGACCCTAGAAAAATTATGTAATAATACATGATATGTACATTCAAAACTTTGACGAATTTGGGAGCACATAAAATTTGCTAATCATGAGCAAAAGCACTGGCACTTAGTGAAATAATGTATGCAACTGAAACATAAGACAAACAGTTAATGAGCTCCAGCTGTTTTAACTTATTAGGTACATTTTTTTGGTTTAATAATAAAGAATATAGTATATAAGGTTGGAGCAAAAACAAATGGGACTGGATACTCGTCCGATAATCGGAATAATAGTATTTTTGTTTCTATTCCGATTATCGGGTTACTAGTTTATTTTGTTATTGTTCCGCAAAATGTTCACTTATTATTTTTGGACTAATAGCATTTACTCATTATTCCGAACATTTTTATGTTTAAAGAAAAAAGTAGTTGGCGCGGTAGTTGGAGTTTGACAGGTTGCTGGATTGCCTATTTGCCTAATTAGAGACCAAAAATTCCATTGTAGCACAATGTTGAGAAACAACCCCTATAGCTAAGGGCGCGGAAGAGGAAAGTTTCTGAATCCGGTCTTTTTACACTAAGAACACCCGGCTCTCTTGAACAATCCTGAAAATATCAGCTTGCCCCTATTTTTTTTTTTTTCACACCTTCCGAAAATACAATTATCTTTGACTGATATTGTGATTCAAGAAATATTGTCTTTACTGTATAATTATGTATAGGTACTGACCTTGTTTTTCGCATGCCTTTGCTAAGTGATTTAAATATTTTACCACCCTGATGGCAAGTATATTCTTATAGGTAGTAGGTATACCAATTCTGCCTTAGCCTGTTGACATTTTTGGGACAACTTTTTGCAATTTTTTAGCATCTCTTTTATATAGGGATTTAGTAACTCCTTTTCAACTGTCTTTATGTAAAACTCTACTTCATTATAAGAATTGAAACTCTTCCCTTGTTCTAACAGATTTTTTGATTCCATATAGTGTTGTAATAATTCTAATTCTACTCTCTAATACTTGCACTGATATTTAAAATCACCTAACTTGGTATCACATAATATAAGGCCAAGGGAACCTTTAACCTATTTCAAACCATAAATAATTTTCGGAATAATATGAGTAAATCCTACTAGTCCGGTCCGAAGTTAATATGTTAAGTAATAGGTAAATTCTTAAATTATTTTGCGGAATAATAACAAAAGAAACTAATAGCCCGATCATCGGAATAGAAACAAAAACACTATCATTCCGATTATCAGACGAGCATCCAGTCCCAAAACAAATCTGAACTCATTTGAATATATGAAATTCTACAACACAAAAAATGCATGAAAAATAGAAATAAATAATTAATTATTTCTGTACCTTTGTAACTTGAGGATCCAGGGCTTCTTTGTCCAGAAACATGATCCGGTGAACCGCGACTTTTCCAAGAAAACGGTGAAACTGGGCTAATTCCACTCCTGACATTGCTAGATTGTTTAATCACTCCACTGATTGGAATAGTTGCTTTTAATGGCCCCTGCTTACCTAAAAAAAGAGACAATTGAACAACTACTTACCATTGCAATTTTAGAGACTACTTATAACAATATAGATAGTTCCGACTTGGAACTATCGAAATGACTATAACATGTACAAAAGGCTGGCTGTATTTCAAAAGAGCAATCTCATAATAAATGTACTTGAAAGTTTTGAGGAAGCCATTCAGGAGGGGCTCCATATTGAATCTGAACAAAATGGACAACCTACAGGTGGAACGAACACATAGGTTGCCTCAAATGTTTGCCGGGCCTTAGTAAAATCAGCCCTCTCGGCTCTCAAAGTATGTATCAGTTTTGGACTTTCACTTTCAATTCTTCTCTTATGATCATCACAAACCAACCGGACATCAGTAAGGGTTTTTATCATAGGTTTTTATTCAAAAAAAAAGGTTAATGTATGCTGGCGCGCATTAAAGTTATTGTTAATGTTTCCTAGTTGACACAAAATTTTCAATTCTCTTGACATGAAATAATAAGATATATAAAAGTCCTTACCTGAATTTGGTGGGGTCTTTGGTACTCTACAAGGGGTGCTTTGTTGTCCAGACATAATTACAAAGTGCAACTGAAGCAATATCTAAGCAAAACATACAAAAGTACTTTTCTGAACTCCAGTTACATTTTGTTGAGATGTTTCAGTCGAAATGCCTAAAATACTACATTTTCTGCAAAGAGGACTCAAATGTATAATGTTTTTTTTAGATTTTTCTCTTTTTACAATGAAAAAATTATTTATCAATTCAATATTCAATTGTCAATTGTTTCAATTGTCTGCTCTTCCTTTCCTGTGTATTATGAATATGAATGCACTCTGCGCAATCGCTGAATTTCTAAGAAGGAAGAAAGCAAGGAATCTGGATGTTATCTGGATACCTAGAAAGAGAGATGTTTTTATGCACGGCACGGCTAGGCTACCACAGTAGCATGTTCAATACAGTTGAATTTAAGTAGCAGATTTCATGCATATTTTTTTCTTTGTTTAGGAACTTCCTCCAGTTCCTCCGTCCGATTGCTGGATTCTCCCAGTGTGTACTCTGGGTTCTGGGTCTGATGTTATAGAAAAGGACAGACATAAATTTATTTGAAAATATTGAAAATCTCCTCAAGTTGTTTTCAGTTTCAGTTAAGTAGCGATTTCGGATGAGACACTAGTTCTTTTCACGTGGCTCCGGTTTAACTAACCGGGTTACAAAACGATTAGAGAAATGACATACCGTTTTCTAACCCGGTTACAAAGTGACGTGATGGATACCCAAGGAGAATAAACTTACTAAGGAGTGCTTATCGGCCCCTTTTTGGGTAATTGCCGCCATATTGGTTTTCAACTGTTTCCAACCACTGCTGACGTCATAACAAAGTCGCCAGCTGTTTGCATCAGCGGTTTTATAAATTTATAATTTGTCATGAAAAATATTTTATTTTGATTTTGATTAACCATTATAGCGGGTAAAGGTACCCTATGCTATGATGGAACCAGTAGCGCGATATCTGGCTAGCTTTCGTCATTCCGCCTATTTACACGTTTTCAGCATGTATGATTTAATTTGGTTTTTATGCTTTGTTGAGAGCATGAATTTAAACGAGATAATTGCGGCCCATATCATTATTGGCGATTTGCAAGATGCCGAGGAACAGGCTAATCACGGACCACGGCAGGTGCTCCAAATACGGGATCCATTCGTATATTTATCTGAACATAAATTCATAAAATATTTTCGGGTATCGAAAAATCTGGCACATGAAATAATCCAATAGATATCCCCATTCATGGCAGTTCCATCTAGGGTGTCAGCATTAACGGTAGAACGAAAGGTATGGACGGATGGGTATCAAATGTTGATGGCATATTATATATTGAGCCCACACAGAAAGCAAAGAGCTCACTGACTAAGATTCAGCAGATGAGGAACGTGGTTTTGACTTATCTACTAGGCAACTTTTGTGCTAGTGCAGAAATTGTTTATTCGAATGGGAAATATATCACAGGTAGAGTAGAATTAACAATTTTTTGGGAAATCATACAATTTTAACCTTATTTTTATTTTCAGACATACCCGAGGAAATATAAAGTACCACCTTGCGCTACAGGAGAATATGCTTCGGGCTGCAGCAAGTGATTTTTGAGTCAATAATGATATAAGTTATTATGGACATTGGACTGCATCATTATTGAAACACTTTTCCTGAACGTAAAAAAAACGATGTGGTGGTCAAAACTGTAGCAGCCGAGGAAGAACAATGTGCTGCAAATGCAATATCGACTTATTTATTCACTGTTCTCGAAAGTTTCACACTGGGTAATAATTTTCACCCATAATGCTGCTCGTGATGATGCAGGCCAAAATTCATTATAATCTATTTCATTTATCTGACCCGAAATGATTATATATATACAACAGCCTAACCGGATCTTTTTCTTATATTTTTGTAAACTTTCTACAATAGGACATTGCCAAAAGGGTCTCAAGGCTGGTATGGATCTCCCTTATAATGTCTGTATTTGAATAACTTGTATGTGTAATAAATAAATAAACATTTTATAAATAACTCTTTATTTTTATTTATAAATAGGTGAAAATTAAATTAACAAAGTCAAATAACTTGACCACAAATCTGATTTTTACTCGAACTACCTATAATATAATACTGGTAATTAGGATTTAATAAACACTTTACACGTTCTGCTGTTTGCTCGGCCATTTGTATGCCTATCTGAGAAGAGTTTAATAATTGATTAAAAGTATAACTACATTCATTACTTGTATCAGTCTCACTAGAATCTTGATTTCTTTTTCTTTCGGCAAGTTTTTCAGCACCCATGGAATCTATTTTTTGGCTCGGTTTATGGATCACTATAGAAGAGGGCAAATTCTGGGATGGTACAACTGTTTTTTTCAATATCCGACCTCTACCTGTACCTCTAAGGGTGGGTATTATAAAACTACTTTGAGAGTTAACTTAAAGTTAACTTCTGGAATTACATGTAATTCAAAAAGTTAACTTTAAGTTAACTGTCAAAGCAGTTTTATAATACCCGCCCTAAGACCTGTACTCTCACCTGTAAATAATAAAAACAGTCAATATTTTCAAACAAAACATTTTAAAAATAGATAGTACTTGATAAATGCCTAGAAGCAGGCCTAAAATGAAGCTAGGGCACAAAACTATCCATTATGCTTGTTTACCTTAACACAAAATTCTTGCTTAATTGAGATGCAGAGAATACACTTCCATGAATTTGGTGACTGGTTTGCCAATACGAAGTTTTAAAATCCAGAAGGCTTTTCTTCTCGACACTTCTTTTTCCATTTTCGTTTCCAAATAGTATACCCGTGGGCCTGTTTCAAGGGGAAATATGTAGAAACTCAATCCTTTGTCAGCTTTTTTTTTTAGCCCAAGACTTGCATTGAGGAACACAACAGTAATGATTAAAAGTCATGATTATATGTATCTGATATAATTTTATAATTTTAGACTTTAATTATACCAGAAACTAGTTCCATAATTTCCAGCCAGCAGCCAGATCATAACATAACCTGTGGTGCAAACAGCCTACGTCAAGACGAAAAACGCCATGATGTTTACGTCACAACTGATTTTTTGGCTAGGCGGGGTAGGGGGGGATTTGTTACACACAGGCCTTATGAGGATAAGCCATCCTTAGTAGTGTGTATCATCCTTGATGGATACCTACCACTCGAATTTCAGCGGTATGTTGCGGTTTATTAAACCACGTGAAAAGGGTTTATGAGACAGGCAGGATGAGGTTAGGTTAGACGTCAGTCAATTAAGCAGGGCGCGCACTGAATCGACTCGGACCGGTCGACTCGGCGAAGAGCATTCGGTAGTTTTTCTTCTTCTTCCTTAAGGTCCAAGGAAACCTCAAGGAGCGACTATAAATTCGGCCCTTAATTGCATGAGTATCAAAAACTACCGAATGCTCTTCGCCGAGTCGACCGGTCCGAGTCGATTCAGTGCGCGTCCTGCTTAAGGCATTCCAGGTTGACGTCATAACCGATCCGCCATTTTAGCTTGAGGGGCAAACAAAAGCCAAACATAACTTGATTTAATGTTATTTTCATTTTTCTATGCAAAGCGAGAATTTTTGAAGTATTTTGTGAAGATGCCTTCGTTTTGTGGCGTTTTTGGGTGCTCCAATAAAGCTGAAAGGGATAAAGTGAGGTTTTTTAGGATTCCAGCAGCATTTAAAGATCGAGGGGATCGCATAAACGAGCTATCAAAAAAACAACGGAGTATGTGAATTAGATGCCTCAATAGGGGAGATTTGCCTGTAACGTTGTTAAAAATGCTCGAATTTGTTCGAAACATTTTGTTAATGGTAAGTTTTATGACTGTCTTGTTAAAATACAAAAACACTTCATCTCGGTACATCAAAAAAGTTGTTTATGTTTCTACAAGTAGGTAACTTTTAATACCTTTTAGGTAGTCCAGCAGAATTTAAGGATACAAACAATCCGGATTGGGTCCCCAGTACAAATTTAGGATATACTACGATAATTGATAGAAGCCCAGAATGAACAAGCCAGTAAGCTAAGCTACATGCCAGATCTGTGCACCGATCAGAACAGTCAAAACGTTTGAGGAGTCATTCTACCACAAATTTATTTTGCTAAAGTTTATTTGTAAGGTTGTTTGTATCAAACTTTTTTATTTCTTAAGCATTATTTTTGTTAATAAATTGTTTGTTTACTATTGTTGAATTGAAATGTAAAGTGGCATGTTTGTAAATAAAGATTCATTCCATTCATTCACAAAAACTAAAAACAACTTAAAATTTATTGAATAAATCAAAAAACGCAAAAATTCCAAAGCACAAACTCAAAAAAAGTAAACAATGATCTATATATATATAGCTTTGTTTGCCCGTCAGCTAATATGGCGGACCTGTCAAAAGTCACGTGACCTGAAATAACCCTTTTCACGTGGCTCCGGTTTAACAAACCGCAACATACCGCTCAAATTCGAGTGGTAAGTATCCATCACGTCAGTTTGTAACCGGGTTAGAAAACGGTATGTCATTTCTCTAACCGTTTTGTAACCCGGTTAGTTAAACTGGAGCCACGTGAAAAGAACTAATGCCTAATGGTCGCGTTCACCAGCACTCAAAATGTTGAGTGATTAGTCAGCGGCTTTGTTGCAAACAGATGAAAATCAACTCTAGGCCAATGAAAACTGTTCTACCTTGTGTATTTCACTTGTTGGAACAAAGCCGCTTACTAATCATGCAACATTTGAGTGCTTACGCTTGCGCTACAGTGACTCTATAACCCACAGTGGCGACAATTGCTGTCTCATTTTTGATTGGTTCTAAAATCCCATATATTTATATTGAAAACATCGCCATCTTGTTCCCAACCCCTTATTTTATTACTTTTAAATATGAATATATGGGATTTAGGTGAACATTGAACATTCATCATAAATCATGGAAAACAACGTATTTGATGGACCTAATAATGGTCATCAAATACGTCGATTTCAATTTTTTATGATAGATGTCCATTTAAATCCTATATATTAATATTTAAAAGTAACAAGAGGTTGGGAACAAGATGGCGGCGAAACCTCTATTGTCGCCACTGTATGTAAAGGTTTATTTAGCCACTGTAGCTTGCGCTCGTTTTAGTTTTGGCGTAGTACTTATGAAAATTATTGACAACGCCGGTCGCCGACTTTCCGGATTTTCGTCCGGTTATGAAAATGCTAACTGCTAACCAAAGCAATTCATTAGGGGAAGCCCAAGTTTTCAAATTCACCATTTGCCTATGCGCAATTCTCTTGATGAGTAACCTATCTTTGTTTTGCTGCTGTCAAATGACAAGGACAGCATTACATCGGCGAAAATGCGCATATGTCAATAATGATTATAAAAACTTGCCCGAACATTCAGATTGAAGAGTTCGGTGCAGAGCATAGTGCAGAGTCAGTGCGATACCGATAATGGGTGCACTTCAAATGTGCCCGGTACAGTGTGCTCAAGTCTATATTTCTTTACTCGTTGAGTTACTCGGAGCTGCTCAATGTCAAAAGTTTGAACGTTCCTTTTAAAAGTGCGTTGAGCACTCGAGTCGCTCATAGTGCATCCCCCTTTC